GCAGGCCTCGACCCACATCAGCAAATTACCGTCCAACCCATGCACTCATGTTAAGCAACTTCAATGGAGGGCCCCACTTTGAGCCAAATGCACCATAATCATCAATATTACCACATGACAACAAATAACCCATTTCATTTTTTAACACTTGACTTCCTTCAACCCATGACCAAAGTACAAGAATGGTGGATCAGTCGCACCATCCTTGTAGCATGCAAACACCAGAGCTTGTCTGGCCCTTTCCCTTTTCCTTTCATTCTCCCTTGCTTCTGAATTTTCCCTTTCCCTAGCTTCTGCAGCAGCCTCATATTTCATCCCTGCTGCTTTCCCCTGTTGGGTATTCAATACATAATTCACCAGAGTGGAGTTGCAGCGGTGGTGGCTTGGCAGTGATCAGTCACGGCTGGAACAGGTGACAAACATGAGGCGCACAGGCCGCGCGAGCTGGCTGATCGAGCGCACAGGGCAGATCCACATCTGGCTGTCGTGTATGTCTTTTTGTTTTGCTTCAAAGAGAAGCTCTCCATCCCCTCTCCTCAGCCCTTTCCTTTTTTTTTTTGTTTGTTTGAAACACTCCAAAATCTCAGCCCCTCTGTGTGTGTGTCCAGAGTGTATCCGTGTGTGTGTGACTGTGTGTGTGTATCTTGTGTGTTTGCTGTGTATGTGTGTGTGTGTGTGTGTGTGCTGGGTGTCTTGTGTGTTTAGTGTGTGTGCTGTGTGCGTGCGTGTATGGGATCCGAGAGAGAGAGAGATCACAGTAGGTGTGTGTGCTGTGTTGATTATTGAGTGTGTGGGCTCTGTGTGTGTGTTTACTGGGTTTGTGTTGTTTGTGCTGTATGTGCCCTGTGTGTGTGGGAGAGAGTGGCAGTGTGTATGGTGTGGGCATGGTGCTGTGTAGTGGTTATGCTGGGTGTGTGCCCGTGTGCATGGGTCTGCCGTGTGTGCATGTGTGTCTAGGTTGTGTTGCCACTACAAGAATACTGGGATTTAACGGCGTTTATTTAACGACGTTTAAAAAAATGCCTCTATTTTTAACATTTAACAGCGTTTTTATAAACGTCGCATCTTTTGTTTAATAATACGGCACCGTTTTAATTTGAGAAGTCGTTTTAAAAACGCCTTCGAATGTGTTTTTTATGTTTTTAATATATGAGAACATAAAGTAGCGTATTCAGTCTCCCTCTTTCTGATTATAACCTTGATTTCACTCTCTCTGTTTCTCTTCTCTTCAAACCCCTTCGTATTTGTAGAACCACAGCTGAACCCCCTTTGTATTTGCAGATCGATTCATGTATTCGTAGATCGATTCAAGTATTATTCACTCTCAGTCTTGCTCTCTCTCTCTAAACCCTTTATTTCACTCTCTCTCGCTTCAAACCCCTTCGTTTCAGAGACAACCCTTTATATTTGTAGAACCGTAGCTGAACCCCTTCGTATTTGCAGATCGATTCAAGTATTCATAGATCAATTCAAGTATTCATAGATCGATTCAAGCCTCGTCTCTAGTTCATGTTCACGTTCGTAGCTCTTTCTTCATAGTAAGTGTTGATCAGTCTCATTTCTATCTTCTTACTGACGGAATCATTCGATTAAAGTATGCTAGGTTTCATCTACTTTGTCATTCTTAGATTAGATTGAAGATATAATATTCCCAACTTTTCATCTAGAGCCAAACACACTCCTATGTTAAACTCCATTTAGGATATCTAAACCCAACTCCAAACTTGATGGTAGGTGTAACCAAACCCCCCATTTCAACCCCAAAAAAAAAAAAAATTAGAAGTGCAGATTTTTTTCTTCATTCTTCATTCTCTAACTTCTCTCTACTTTCTCTCTCATTTTCCTTTACTTTCTTGGAGGCCAAACACCACACCTTTGCTCCACCCTTACACCACCACCTTGACCCACCATCTCCACCACCTCCGGCCACCTTATCTCGCCGGAAAAAGGGTCCGGTCGGCCACTCCTTAAATCCATCCGAAAATAACACAATAGAAGCACAAACTCTAGATTTTTCTTAATCTTTTGAAGAATCAAAGCATGGGATTTATTTTCTTGATGGATTAGAGGCTTGTACTTGGTAAGAATCTTTCTCTAAAAGTTTAGTTGAAGGTTTTACATATTTTGAGTTAGAGATGATGAAATTTTTGTGTTTTAGATCTATTATGATTTGGGGTTTGCTTGTTGAATTTTATACTCTCAATTAGTTTCCATGAATGTTTTACATGTTTAAAAAAAAAAAAATGGTCAATTTGTTGGTTGATTTGGAGATTTAGATTTTTGGGTTAATCTAGGGTTTGAATGTGATGTAAAAATTGAGGATTTTGGTGTTAGGGAATTTATATGTTGAAATTGATTTGATAAATGGTGAATTGGGTATCTCTATGTTCTATGGAGGAATTTTATAAGTGATTGAAGAGATTTTACTTAAGTTGTTGAGTTTATACAAAAATGTTGATTTTTGACTTTTGTAGTAAATTGATAGTGGTATTGTGCATATAAATTGATTGGATATTTAAAAAGTTACTAACTCAAAGATTTTCAAAGGATGGGTGTTATGGAGATTGGATAAGTTATTTGTTTGGGTGACTTAAAGTTGGAGGAGTTCTTTAGCTTGCCATTCCTTTAGCATAATTTTATTTAGGATCATTTTTGTAGATGTTGTAATTTTCATTGAAAGCTTTTCATAATTTGAGATCCTATTTACTAATTGTTAGGATTGGAGGAAGGCATCTCTACACCACTTGGAAATTAATTTGTAGAGTTTCAAATCTACACTTTTGCTATTTTTGGAGGTGAGTATACTTACCATGGAAATTACCTTACCTCTATCTTTATTACAAAGTTTGAAAATAATTTTTGAATTAAAGGAAGTGAATGATACATTTCATCATGATATATGTATAAAAAGAAAATCTATAAATTTATTGAGGCCAAGGGTTGAGTTTTAATAAAGATATGATTTCATTTGTATAATGAAGCATTAAATTTTTATGAGAATTTATTTAAGTTGAGTCTTTCAAATTTTATGATGATGATGATTGAATGATAGTGAAATGTTATGTGAGGGTATTTATTTTATTGATCATATAACCGAATATAGCCTTTGGGGCCACAAGGGCCAAAATGCTTTGGGGTCCTGGGGACCGAAATGTTTTAAGGACCATAAGGGTCGTTGTATGTATAAGGGGTCCCGGGGACCGAAACATTGAAATAAGAATTGAAGTGCTACGATGACATGAGCTATGTTCCTATGGTTATGTTTTGGGTAACGGTACCGTCACCACCTAAGTCGCGAGGTAACGCGGCCCTAAGGCTATGTAGTCGATTGTATGATGGACAGGAAATCTTAATGTATTGAAAAGTTATATTTTTGTTTACTTTCATTATCCAAATATATTTTTTTTCTGCCTTATGAGATTCCTTGGAAAAATCTTGATAACGTTTTATGAAAATTGTATTTCATCATTTTTATTTTTATTTTGTATAAATTTAAGTCCAATTAAGCTCTTATGTTTAGTATCTTTATTTTGAACCCTATAGTAGGAGCAAGTTTTATAACTCCATGGTATTGGTATACTCATTGGGCTTTAGCTCATTCTTTTAAATATTTTTTTTTTTAGATTCATAGACTTTTGTGTGGCTCGCCTCAACTTGGAAGACTAGAATTTTTTGAAGGATCACAGGTGGGCATCTTGTGGTTGAGGTTTAGGTGGGCATCTTGTGGTTGAGGTTTTGCTTAGGGTCATTCTAGGATGTAAGCTTACCCTTTTTTTTATGAAGGAGGTTGATTGTAAAATTTGCTTATGAAGTTGGATGTATTGATGGATTCGTGATTAGTATGTATTATATTTTTTTTGGGAGAAAATGCTTGGGAACTATCTTGTAGCATGATAATAATTTTTTTGCCTTTGAATAGATCATCTCATATATGTTAGGCAATTGAAAGGTCTTATGCACTTTTGGTGATGTGTTGATGTGATGTAAGAATTATACAGGAATTGTGGTGTAAAGGTGCTATAGCGTTTGAGGTGCACCCTCTTGGCAGGGTTTTGCCTTGCCAAGATTGGGTCGTTACAGAAGATCTATTGATTCGATTCAAGTATGGTAGGTTTCGATTGAAGATCTATTGATCGATTGAAGATCATAATGTGTATTGTAGATGTTAAAATTGAACACAAAATAAATATATACATACATATATATGAATAGATTGACAAATTTTTAAAAAATAGATCTCAATAAGAAACTCTGTAACCTTTTATATATTCATATGGATTATATGTTGAATTATGTATCAAATGAGTATGGCCAAGTTCAAAAACTAGCTATGTTTGCTTAAAACAATGGATTGGAATTCACTAAAGTGATGGTTTCACTTAATAGTTTATTAAATTTGATTATTTCAACCGTTTGATGTTTTATTAGAGTGCTTGTCTTCAACTAATAGATTTGTTTGATGATAAGAAATTTGTAGCAATTTGTGATGCTGCATCATAGCCCTTTTAAGACTTCATTCATGAAGAAAAATAGAAGATATTTTGAACCATTTGAGTGAGTTTCTTTTATCTTTTATGCATAATAAGTTGTTGGAAACTTCATACTTTATCATCCTAATAATATGAAGGTGTAGACACCCCATTAAATATGCATACCCTGTACATAAACAAGTTTTGTTCTGCCTGGTCATATATGCCGAGACTACAAGCAGTGAAGACTCCAAGAATGTATATTCATCTAAGCTTCTCTATATGCATACCCTGTATATATATATATATTTTTTATAGTGTAGTCGAAGTAAACAAAGAAGATAAAGAGGCCAGTTATTTTTATTTTTGTATTTGCAGTTATGCTATTTAGCTCTAATTTGTTCAAAATTATCCTTTGAATCTACACAAAACATAACATGTTCTGTTTCTGATTTTGTTAGGCAAGTTCAATCTTTAACAATTGTATTAAAAAATTTTAAGACCTGTAACAATGTAAAATTTTTTAAAACACAACCAAGCAGGATTTCTTGGGAGCTAGTTTTGCTGACTTGATGGTGTTCCCTACATGGTAAGTCAAACACATTCCTTTCTCAAAGTGTTCCTAGAATTTCATCTGATAAAAAGGGCGAATTTCAAATGCTCCAAATACTTCAATTCCATTTGATTCAATCTTGCTGCACATTTATCACAGATTGATTGCATTTGAAATAGTGCATTTATAGAATTGTTGTTGTGGTCATCGTCGTTGTCTCTACGTTTGCTCGAGTTAAATTTCAGATCCTCTATTTTTGAAAGTATATATGTACATATTTTATGTAGCTAGTCATTGATTGACATTGCCATATTGACTTTTTCTCTTTTTCCATTGACGATGTTCGTGGTGCTTAGATTAACAAACGACATTTTAACTTAAAAATTATAGTTTATGTTTATAAAAAAATATAGCTTTTGAATGGCTCTTAATTCTTATTGAATGCAAGAATATTGTAATTCTTCAACAAAAGTTATAATAGGTAACGGTAAAATTTAAGACAATAAAGTACACAGTTTTAAAAGATTGGTTTGGGATGAAAACTAGGAAAGAGGATGTCACGACCCGCTTCCCGTACCCAAGGGTTAGGCATCGTGATGGTCAGTAACCGAGGTTACCTCTGGCTAAATCTTTAAACAATTTAATAAACGCAAGCGGAAGAAATATTTAAATAAGGGTACTAAATAATCATTGGAGCGTCTATTTTTATTACAAAATGTATTGACCAAGAAGGCCGATATTTACATAAAAAAAAATACATTAATAAAAGTGCTTTGTGCCTATTCCACACGCTGGTTCCGACATGTCACCTGAAAGTGGTAAAAAAACTATAAGCTCATGGCAGAGTGAGAAATATTATACTAAGAGTATAAGGCATAAAATTCACCATGGATAATTAGTTATGCCAAAAGAACTTGATACATATAACACGAAAATCATTTGATATATACTTCAGATCATTTGACATATAACATGTAATACGAAAATCACTATACAACCATAACCACGGTACATCACTAAGTGCCAAGCACTACACTGGTCAATGGATCCACGACAAACACTGGACCACAAAGTGGTTAATCACTAAGCCAATGGTTATTTAAGTCCCCCAAGGCATGGGACTCCCATGTTGGTACTTACAAAACATATTTTCATATAAGGTCGATATAAGGTCATAGCCAAATATTCTTTAAAAGCAAAACAACATATCCATGAGTTTCCTTTTAAGCAAATAGGGTTCATAAAATAATCCACGTAACTGAAACCTTTATAAAACATAACTTTTATAAATATATTAATAAAATATAACTTGTATAAAATAGATTTTGGTAAGTTAAAACATAAGTAAAATACATTTTGGTGACTCAAGGTATAATATAACTCACCTTAACTTTAATACCTTATTCTTTCTTTTCACTATCAAAGACCCTTTCACCTTCCACCATTTCTCTCTTCTTTCCCTCTCTTTCTTTTCTTTCTTTTCTTTCTCTCTTCCTTTCTTTTTCTTTCTTCCTGCCGTTTTCTCTCCAGGCGCCTCCGTATTTATAGGGGAAAAGGCGCTACGTGGCAGATTCAGTAATAATTATATAGATCCGTTCTTATCCTTAATAAATATTTAAAATAATTACTTTTTGATCTAATATTTTAATATAATTATATAAATTAATTAATTCTTAATTAAATTACACATTATCACATATTAACAGAAAATTAATTATTTATTTTATTATTATGTCCATTATTATTATTATTATTTATATTTTGACTCCTAAACTTTTAATAATTATATTATTTTACAAAATTACACATAATAATATATAATAAATTATATATTTTCAGAACTGAGATTAAATAATATTAATATAAATTTTATAGAATAATGAAAAATCTGGGTTGTTACACAGGAAATATGAGAAGGCATTAAAATTTATGGAGAATTCAATTTTGAGATGATCGAGTCCGTTGAAATCAATGTTTGTCTTGAGCCTCCTACTGAATGGAAAGGCCATTTCAGACCCCTATGTGGACATATACATAAATTTCACTTGTTAGACATATTAACTCTACAGTGTGTATCTGAGCTTGTGAGTCTCATATATGTAACACATTGTACCCATTTGCATTTGAGTTCACGCGTTTATGAAAGAACCATGTAATAGAAAATGATGAAAAGTTTGGTTCAAGGGCATTGCAGAAGAGCGTGACACTCCTCTGCAAATTTACCTATAAGTAAAAAATGAATTCATTATTCATTTCTAGGTGGCCAAACAGGTTAACATAGGTGGAAACTTATTCTATATGGACAGGGGTCAATGGGTCATACAAGTCCATCATTGATAGGTAGAAGAGTATCAACAAATTCTAAACTATGATGGTTTTATATTACCAGTGTAAGATTGAGATGTTTTAGACTTGGGCTATTGGTTGGTTTTGGTTTGTCATGGCATGGTTTTTCTTGCTTGCTCGTTGTTGTTTTCCTTTCTTTATTGATTCACTGAAAAACAAAACAATGATGCATGTTTCAATGTTCTCAACTCAACTGGCTTATTGAGCTAGATGGTGAATTGGTTGGCCATGATGTATTATGGTGCATGTTATAACATACCTTTTCCTACTGCTATCTTCCTTTGTGGCAGATGCGTGCTAGATGCGGAACTTATGAAATATGTTGGTGAAGCTTATCCAAAAGGTGTACATTCAGTTTATTGTGTCAGAGGAAAAGATGTGGAAGAACCAGGATCTGATTTGGAGCTTGTGGTGGTAATTTTAGCTGCTCGACATAGCCCACAAAATTTCTGGTGTGTTAAACTGACTCCACTTTATTTGGCCTTATTCTTGTTGCTTAATTTATATGTAAACCATTTTAAATTTTAGCCTGTGGTGAAAAATTGCTCGAGGTTCTGCCTCATTTAATTGTATAATTATTGACGTATTTGCAATGACACATACTTCTAGTTTCCAAATAACGCATTGAATCATAGTATTTTTCTTGAGTGCTTGCAAGACTCGTTGCTAAATTCTGAGGCATTCTTTGAAAGTTTTAGGTTCTGTTTGTCTTTAGGAATTTGAAATATATGGATTTGACATTCTTCATTCAAGAAAAATAACTTAAATTTACATTTGAGAGTTTAGCTATAGATTTCAAGATTATATTATGTAATTTTGTCATGATAGATTTGGAATTACTATACAAAATTAGTTATTTGAAATCATGCCAAGGATTCTCCTTCTAGCTACATTGATCCTACTAAATAACTTATCTTCTATCTCAATTTATCTTCTTCTATAGTTCTATCCACCTATAATAACTAACACTACAATTTTTTTAAAAAATTCAACGTCAAATACTTTGATTTGAAATCCATATCCATCCAAACAAACTCTTAGATATTGTGCGAGAAATTGGATTAGGTTTTGTGGACAAAGTGGATGGTTACTAACGACTGATATAAGTGTGCTTTAGACTAACAACCAGCATGAAACATTGACTGAAAGCTTTGACAGCTCTTAATAAATGGCTAGAGACGGGTTCAACTTGTTGCTTAAACTTGTGATGGGGAAAAAATGTATGTCCAAATTCAAGAGTCATTTATGACAACTAGCATAATGTTTGTGTGGATTGTGACCCGACATTTGTTTGATTCCCAATTCTCTTTCTCTGTGGATTCTCACACCAAAAAGACTTAAATCTTCTTCTTTTTCCTACCAAGCTTGTTGGCAGTTTCTATTTGTGAACACTGCCATTTTCTGTATTTGCCAGTTTCCTTGACAAAGCAAAATTTTGGTTCTCTTAAAATTACAAGTGGTAACTTGCATATAATATTAAATAAACATATAATATTATGAAAGGCAACTTTTAGTTTGCTAATTATAGGTCTTGTATTCATAGAATTTATTTTCTAATGCTTCCAGTGTGCTATTGTTTATGTTAGATTGTTAAAATTCTATTGTAGTAATATAAAAGCAGTTGCTCCATTCTACAGATTTGATTAATCGAGTATGTAATGATAATTGCTGTTACTTAGTCGACCTTTGTACCCCTAAATATGTGTTTTCTTTGGAGATGTGGCAAGGTATTGGTTCTTTTACAATTATTCAGCTATTGTTAATATTTTTCCCTGTCTATCATATAGCAATGGAAGCTGGCGCTCAATATGGAATGTTGAGTTCAAGGATGATTTACAAATAGTGGATGTGAGAGGCAGAATACAGGTATGCGTACTAACTTCTGTAATGCACAACCATATATGATTCTTGAATTAAACAGATCTCCTTTCGACGTTTTGTGTTTAGATTAAGTGAAGAATGAATCTATATGCATGGTCTGATATAAACAAACCCAATTCAGTTGTGATTTTCTTCTTCATTCAGGTAGGTGCCCACTACTTTGAAGAGGGAAATGTCCAGTTAGATGCTAAACATGAATGCAAGTGTAAGAAATAGATGTGTTATTGATTGATGTATTGATGTTGTATGTATTATTGATTGATGTATTGATGTTGTCTTTATTACAAATGGTGAGTGGCTCATTATATAGGAGAGGGTGAGTGTAGTAGGTGAGGAGTAGGTGAGGAGTAGGTGGTGGTAGGTGATGGTAAATTGGTGGTAGGTGATGGTAAAATTTAACAGCCCCCCGCAAACTCAAGGAGGATAGAAACTAACCAACTTAATTATATCACCGAACAAGTACACCTTAATACAAAGGCATCAGATATATTAGGTGCAGATGCCATTTCAGAAAATAGATTACAACTTAGGTTACTTGACTTGTATTCTCCAATCTGGTTATCAAGATCACCCAGGAGATCTGCCAAGTCATGTGCTTAGAATATAGACTGAAGCAGGATGGAATTTTTTTCTCCTAAATACTTCTAGCTAATGAGATCACAGTTGAAGATGCTGACAATTTATTGAACCTTGTGTCATATTTGTCTGGCATTTGCGTTAACTCACAAATTTCACAGGGCACTTCTAACAGTTCCAATTAATTCCCTCGCATGAAAATGGTGTTGGGTCGTATAACTTATCTTCATTTTTAATTCCCTGTACCTACATATTTGTGTTACCCAGAAAAGAAAATGTAATAAATAGAAGTAAAAATTAAGAAACACGACTGTGTCAAAGGTACCTGACCTTTTGTGATCTTAGTGACTTGGAGGCAGTCTGCATGTCTACAATATGATTTTGTCCCGAGTGACTAATATGCCTGGTTGAATGTTGATCATATTTCATTCTTTCGTAATCTGTTTTTTCTCTCTTTGGCTGATATTTTTTATATTTGTTTCAATCCGCTGATGACTCTGCAATATCTTTGAGCAACATTATTCGTCATCATGAGACAGAATACCTTGCTGCTCTTCAGGTTCTGTATGTGTTTCTATTTTAGTCCAATACTTGGAATTTTCTAGGAGGCCTTTATTGATAGTTACATATTGGCAGGCATCCTACTCAAATTTGCCGGATTTCACATTCAAGGTACTCTCTAGACTAAACTGTTTGTGGAAAATTTGCATCAGCCAAATCATTTGAATAATAGAAAAGAATTACCTTGGATTGTTATAAATGACAAGCATGGAGCCTCTCTAGTTACTGGGCATTCCTTGAAATGGTTATTGCTTGAAAGCCTCAAAGTCCCGCAGTAGTTTAGGAATGGCCACCTCACTGATGTTTCCTTTCCCTCCTAATGCAGGACAGCACTGTAAGGGCTGTTCTGGGGCTGTGAAAGTGCTGAAATTTTAAAAAGAAAAAAATGAGAAGAAGATAGGTCTAGGAATCACTCTTAAAATCCCTTAGGCATCACACCTAAGGTTTGATTGCATCATACAATTCATAAGAAAGTTTCAAAGCTCCTAAAATTCTATGAAATATTTAGTCTATTGAATTAATAACATTACATGGCTTTATATAGAACTAAGAGACTTCCTAAATTAACTAGAACAAAAAAAAGAAACTTTAAAAACTAATTTAAGATCAAATAAGAAACATAAATAAAATCTAATTAAATAACTTGATTCACAAGACAACCCATGGGCGACCTGTATAACCCATGTATAGAAATTATGAAATTACCAAAACACCCTAAACTAAAATAATAATAATAATAATAATAATAATAGAACATGACTCATAAGCCTAAAACATAACTATCTAGGGTCCCAAATGAGTTGCTTATCATCCAATGCATGCCAAATCAAAGCATGGGCCTTATAGGCATCTCTTTCTCGTCTCTTGTGCACCTTCAGAGGCTACCGCCACTTGCCTTATGGAGGTATTGTGATCTAATGGTGATGCTTATGGAGGTATTGCGATCATAGTAATGTTATTACCTGTGAATTGATTTTTAGGTCTGGAGATTTTTAATAAATTTTTCTGATGTTCTGGGGCTTTGACCATTTATGCTGGATGAATTTGTTCAAGCTTTTCATGATTATGTAAGTTCTTGAGATCCTTGTATTTAATTTTGCCTTTAGACTATTTTCTTTATCTTTACTCTCATCTTATTGTTTTAGCTGCTCCCTACTATTTTTAGGATCCAAGGTTGTTAGGGGAGATTCATGTAGCTCTTTTAAGATCCATAATTAAAGATATTGAGGATGTAGCAAGGACACCCTCTTCGACTGGGCTGGGAGTAAATCAAAATACTGCTGCCAATCCTGGAGGTGGCCATCCATAGATTGTTGAAGGGGTAAGCTTTGTTCTGTGGTTGGTTTTTGTTGCTGCTTCTATCTTGTTGTCAATTGTGGCTCGATTTTGTGTTTATTCATTCTGAAATATTTTTATTCCTTTGTTTTACTTTCAGGCGTATGCTTGGGGCTTTGATATACGCAGCTGGCAGCGCCACTTAAATCCACTGACCTGGCCTGAGGTATTGCGACAATTTGCTCTATCTGCTGGATTTGGGCCAAAATTGAAGAAAAGGAGTATTGAAAAAGCATATCTTCGTGATGAATTAAGGACAAGTTTTGGTATAATTCAGCAGAAGCATATATAAATTGTTGCAAACAAATATTATATGAAGGCCTGTCACCAAGATGTAGAGGACTTGGCCAGCTCAAGATCAGCATGAATGTGATGTCATCAGATTAATCTCACTCCCGTTTTTTGTGCTTGCATTCCTTGTCCTGGGCTTAGTACCTCCTTTATGGGGTAGATTAACCTCACTTTTGTTTTCCTTGCATTCCTTGGTTCTCTCTCTAGTTCATTGGAAGATTTAAATCAATTTTCCTGAAAAGCTGTTGGCCACTTGCGTAGGTTACAATTCAGTCAACCTTATTGTTGGTTACAATTCACTTTTGGATATATTATTTTGTTCTTAATGGTGATTGGATATTAAATTGAATGGGAGTTATTATTTCATATTAGTATTATTTTTTAGTTTAATTACAGGTATTTTTTAGTTCAATCACATAAAATTAGCACAATTAAAAAAAAAGAAGGTATCACGGCGTTTCTAAAAATGCCACTAAATATTATATCAATGGTTGGATTTTTTTAAAAAGAGATAAGGCGGCGTTTAAAAACGTCGCTAAATAACCTGGTGACGTCATATTACCGTTAGTAGAACTTTTCGCGGTGTTTTCATAAAACGCCGCCTATAGCCATATAGCGACGTTTCTAAAGCGTCATAAAGTTATAGCGACGGCCGCATCTTCGGTGTTTGGTATTAAACGTCACAAAAAAATTTGACGGCATTTTTAGGACCTATAGCGGCATTTTTCAAATGCCGCTAAAACCCTTATTTCCAGTAGTGTGCTCTGTGTGTGGTGTGCCATTGTGTGTTATGCCTTGTGTGTGCTGCGTGAATGGTGTGAAGAATTGGTGCGAGAATGGAAGAGAGAGAAAGAGAGTTGGATGGAGTGGTTTCAACCCACACCTAGTTTTACTTTCACCATTTTCTTGTATCAAGAAGCTGTAGCTTAGTCAGAAAATATTTTTGAGAGAGAGAGAGAGGTAGTGCCTGGGAGAGAGCTCAGAGAGACCCAGAGAGAGCCTTTTTGCATGTGTTGTCCTCCCCTCTCCCCTTTTGCTTCAAACAAGTTGAAAAATATAAAGAGAGAGATTTTTTTAATTGTTTATCGCCCACCATGCCAACAATCATAAAAAATCCACACCCCTGGTGCCCACAGGCCTCAATTATTCTGAAGAGGGAGAGATAGTGTGTTTGTTAGGTGTCTCCTCTCCACCCGCTCTCACTTGCCCTCCTCTTTTTTCAATTCCGTCCACCACTTTTCAAGCCCACTTCGCCGAATTATTTTCCACCCAAAACTTATCATCACAATGTCCACTCTGTTCCCCTTTGAATCCAGCAAAAACAAAATCCTTTTCCATCCCAAAACCCATTATCCTCATCTGACCCTCTCTTTTTCTTTTCTTTATTTTCTTTTTCATTTTTTATTTTTTTGTTTGTTTTTTTATTATTTTATATAAAAAAACACCTAAAAATGTGTACACACACATAAAATTAGATAAAACTTATAAAATACTACAAATTGATAAAATATTAGTGATATGAAATAATTTGACCAAAATAGGTGAGGTTTGGGATTAAAGCTTAAATTTGATTTTTCGGCTGAGAAATTCATAAAATGACATATTTTAATTTTTATCAGCGGGTGGTCAAAAGAAAGTGCCCAAGTCTTAGGGCCAGTCAAAATGAGGTGTCTATAGTTGCCCCTTTTTGACAGAGCTTGAAGTCATTTCATGACGTGAGTGAATGTCAAAGCCCGAAGATGACCCTTTTGACAAGGCTGTAAGACTTGGGCAATCAAACAAGATGCAATGCATGTGGTTGAACCCGAAGGTTGCCTACGTATCCCTTTGCAAGGAATCAAACAGGCGTAGTTCAGGGGCAAAATGCAAATGATATGCTCAAAATGTATTTTGAAAGTTGGACTTACACGCTTCGCGAAGCCGGTTGTTTAAAAATTCATGATTTATGCAATGCAATGCAAAGTCATGGAGTGATGATAAAGATATGAAGATGGCGACATGGGAGGCAAGCTTAGTGCAAAACACACGAAGCAAGCCATATTTCTACCTGGCTATGTTTGCAACTTTCCTTATTCTCCAACAGGGTGACAGACTAGGTTGGTTCAGTTTCCAGAGTTGAGGCGCATACAAGCTATCTCAACCTATGGGGCTGTCATACAGATTTCAAGCCGGGGATACACCCCTAGGTATTTAAACCAGACTTTAGTCTCGGAAATCCCGAACCTTTTGCGTTCTAGGCATCGCCATTCGAACTCTAGTTTCCACCGTCTCAATTGATCTCCTAGGACCTTATTACAAACACAGTCAGGTGGCTATACCAAATCAATTGAAGTCGTTCGGGCATGACAAACACCAAAAGAATTGCACCTTTAGAGGATTTAAGGTCTCCTAGACCATTGATGTCGTTCGGGCACGACAAACACCAAAGGAATTGCACCTTCAAAAGGATTTAAGGTCTCCTAGACCCGTGGGAGTGCACAAGATGGTGCGATGCGCAAGATAGCGCGATTAAATTGAAATTGTACAAGACAGTGCCATGGAATCGAAATTGTGCGGTAGGTGCTTTATTGTGCGATAGATACACAGAATGTAAGGAGGAAAGATGGTGTAAACACCAAGCACACCTGCTGTTTTTAACCGATTTGCAATCCTAACGCGTCTCACGTGAAATGAGAAGGGGTGGTGTAAACAAATAGGCGCACCTAACTGTATTTTAACCAGGGTGGTGTAAACAGACAGGCGCACCTGACTGTATTTTAACTGGGGTGGTGTAAACAGACAGGCGCACCTGACTATATTTTAACCGGGGTGGTGTAAACAGACAGGCGCATTTGACTGTATTTTAACCGGGGTGGTGTAAACAGACAGGCTCACCTGACTGTATTTTAACCGGGTGGTGTAAATAGACAGGCTCACCTCACTGTATTCTAACCGGGGTGGTGTAAACAGACAGGCTCACCTGACTGTATTCTAACCGGGGTGGTGTAAACAGACAAGCACACCTGACTGTATTTTAACCTGGGTGGTGTAAACAAACAGGCGCACCTGACTATATTTTAACCGGGGTGGTGTAAACAGATAGGCTCACCTGAATGTATCTTAACCTGGGTGGTGTAAACAGACAGGCTCACCTGATTGTATTTTAACCGGGGTGGTGTAAACAGACAGATGCACTTGACTGTTTTTAACTGATTTGGGTGAATGCGCAAGATAGCGTGATGAAGGTGCACAAGACAGTACGAGTGGGGGGTGCACAAGATAGTGCAATGTAGGAATGCACAAGATAGTGTGATTGATTTGAGATGCACAAAAGAGGCGATGCCCAAGATAGGGCGATTGAATTTGATGCACAAGACAGGGCGATTGAATTTGATGCACAAGATAGTGAGATGCCCAAGACAGGGCGATTGAATTTGATGATGCATAAGACAATGCGATGCCCAAGACAGGGCGATTGAATCTGATACACAAGACAGTGCGATGCCCAAGATAGGGCGATTGAATTTGATGATGCACAAGACAGTGCGATGCCCAAGACAGGGCGATTGAATCTGATGCACAAGACAGTGCAATGCCCAAGACAAGGCGATTGAATTTGAAGCACAAGACAGTGCGATGCCCAAGACAGGGCGATTGAATTTGATGCAAAAGACAGTGCGAAATACAGACAGATATATACGGATATATACACAGACATATACAGTACATATACAGGTATATACGACACAGACATATACGGATATATACACAAATATATATAGGTGGGGAATATTCCACTTGCGACTGTCAGTAGGAAGGTGCCATTATTGAGAAGGCATATTTTGTTTGCTAACGTCAGCACACGTACATAAAAAAGAAACGAAAATCACAAAATCCATGGATACGGGGGTTCGACCCTCTGATCGCAAGCTTAGTCTTCTAGTCCTCAACCATTGAGCTGAACCACTGAACCAAGCCACTTTTGTGACAAATAATTCAAACAAATATATATATATATATATATAATACAAAACCAAAACAAAACAAAAGAAACACTCGTTTGCTATGGGGGTCGAACCCCTGACCTCAGGTTTAGCCTTTTAACCCTCAAACGCCGAATCAGATCATTTCACCAAGTCACCCTTGTGACAAAAATATTCGAATAAATGTATATAATACATAAATATACAATACATATACACATTTATATGTAACTCTCCTGCCTCTCCTATTTTTGTCTCACTTTCTCTTCCTTCATCTTCTTCGAGCATCGTGTCTGTCGCGTGATTTCAACAATCGCGGCGCCTGACCGACAGGCTATCCAATCCTGCCCCGATAGTCAATGACCGTCTCGGTCTTCCTCTCTCTTTGTCTTCTTCTTTGGTTTCGTCCTCTTCTTAAATTGAGGCCTGCGAGAGAGGGCAGAGCAAAAGCCTGCAAACTTTCTCTGCCACCATTCTACAACCTCTTTCTTTTGCATTACTCTTTTCTGCCATGGCCTCTTCACAAGGTTTTCTCACTCTTTTTCCAGTCCTAAACAAGTCCACGATAGAGATGACCGATTATGACTCCCCTGAACCTCAACCACGAGCTCCTCATCTTTCCCCTGTTTTTAACTTTCCAGCAATGTCAGTTGAACAAATCATGGCGGCACAATCTGACATCAAAGTAAACTCATATACGCTAAGGTGATGTGTGGAGACCGTGACTGCGGTCTCTAACTTGTCCCGTCGACTGCAAAACAGGACGTGTGAGGTACATTAGTTAAATGCACAACTCTCCCTCCTCCAACGTATGTACAAAGACGCTCAGGTAGAAATTGGTGTGTTGAAAAAGTAAAACAAAGAACTGAAACGACAGACCACCTCCGTGGCTCGATTCGGAGTTTCTTCACACAACCAATTTGATGGCCGAAGAGGAATAATCTCCTTCGGAAGATCTGCCAAAGTCAAGGTAGAGTCTTCAAAAGCTTCGAAGGAGTAAAGATGAAGCGAGACAGGTGATGGTAAAGTTAAGCAACGAAGTTGTGTGCTAATAAAGCCGGTTGTAATCTTCGTTGTCGAGCTACTGCCGAAAAATTGAGAAAATGCTACTCTCTTTTATTTTATTTTATTTTATTTTTGTTTTTCTGGGTTTGTTGTTTTTGTTTTTTTTGTTTTTGTTTTTGCTGTCTCTGTAATCGGGGATGTCCTCCCCTGACTGCAATAAAATCAGTTTAGTTTTTGCACATCAATGGCATGACTGGCATATCACTTTGAACTTGAAAACATTTTTGCTTGATTGAATTTGAGAGTGATTGAATTTTGAACTCTGAATTGAACATTGATTCTGTACTGACTTGAATCAA